AGAGTGCAAAAGAGTCGCATAATTCGTTTTCAATTCATACTGAATAACATACTTAGTTTTGGGGCCGATTTTGTATTTTTTATTTTAGGTTGGTTTATATTAGGCCCGAATTCCCTTGATTTATTTAAACAAAATAGTAGTTTTAGGTTTATCATTCAGCATTCACGAAAAAAGAGAACTTTGTACAAATTCTATGGAGAATTAATAACCTATGAATTAATCTATTGTAACCAATCTTCATCCACTTTGAGGTTTTTTTTTATAATTTCCAAAGCAATTTAAATTCCTTTTCAATTCTTTATGTAAATAGGATTGCTTAATTCGGTAGCCATTATTTGCTTAATTCAATTGTTGCTTATAGATTAGAATTGATTTATTTCAATTGATGTATGTTCTGTAACCGCATTTGCTTAATTCGCGTATGCCTAATCTGTTTGCTTAATTCGAAATCTGTTTGCTTCATTCAAATATTAGGATAACATATCATATATATTAGTATCGATGCGCTTATTATTTTTGTTGTAATATAAATGGGAGTCAAAACTGTTAGGGCTTTGGAATTATATTGATCAATGATAAGTTGGGGAACAAATAGTAGAATAATTTGTCAATATTATTCGTAATCGAATTCTTTTGATTGCAATCTTAATCGAAACCTAAACCTCCCCTTTTTTGTTCCAATCATTTGGCAAAAATCATCCAAGAGTCCTTGCGATATGACTATTGAATTTTGTTTCTCTACACTACACTTTTTATTTACTCGTTTTTGACCTGTGTGCGATAGCAGATTGTGTGTGTGTGTGTGTGTGTGTGTGTGTGTGTGTGTATGTGTGTGTATACGTATATGTGTGTGTGTGTGTGTATATGTGTAAGTGTGTGTGTGTGTGTGTGTGTGTGTGTGTGCGTGTGTGTGCGTGTGTGTGTGTGTGTAAGTGTGTGTGCACGTGTGTGCATGTGTCTGTGTGTGCGTGTGTGTTTGCTTGTATGTGTGTGTGCGCGCGTGCATGTGTGTGTGTGTGTGTGTGTGCGTGTATCTTTGTTCTGTTGTTTTCATTCTCATCTAGGTGCATAACATTGAGGACTCAAGGACTCTTGGATTAAGGGGGAATTAATCATCATGGGGGGAGTTTTTTGGTAAATGCACAAACATCATATATGAATTTGTCATCATAAAAAAGGAGGAGATTGTGAAGGAAAATTTCTATTTTATCCTATGTTTTGATGAAGACAAATATGTGGAAAGAACGTCTAGATTTCGTATTTTCAAGTCAAGATAAAAATGTCAAGCTTCAATGGATGATTTTTCTCAAGATCAAGTTTCTAAAATTGATTAAATGTCTATCAAGATACAAATATTCAAATCATTATCGATCTATAGGATATAAGTACTCAATCATATTCATCTAAACATATTCTTTAAGTTTTTGCATTAAGTTTTCAAAATGCATATTTTAACTTTGAATTTTTTTATTAACATTTTTGTTGTGACAATCGATTGTAACTATGCTACAATCGATTGTCACATATCTCTGCCAACAAAAAAACAATTTTTGAGCATGAAAATCGATTGTTGGGGTATGTGAAATTGATTTTCATGTGCATTTTTGAAAGTCTTATAACATTAAAATGATGCAATTGATTGTCATGGGATGTACAATCGACTATCATCTTTTTTATTTGAAAATTTCTAAATCATTTCCACACCTCTTCCTTGCACATTTTCAACACACACCTTTTTCATAACAGTGACATTTGATCATGAACATTTCTAAACATTGTCATAGTTTTCTAGAGATGTCATGTGCAATATAAATTGCAGAATTTTTTACTGTTAAACTCACCTTTTTCAAATACTTTTCAAAACAATTCATCTGCAAAAATTATCAATTCTTATTGAACTTCTTGTGTTATTTTCAAATCATTATGAGATAAGTTCTTGAGCACTTAAAAGTGTATAGTTTGAATTGTTATATTTGAAAGGGAAGAAACTTTGTTGAAATTTTCTGTGTACCAAAGTTCTACTATACTCATATTATTGATTTACAATTATTTGTAACTTAGCAATAGTGTCAGTTTGCCAAATTGTGGAAAAGAAGTGTATTCTAGAGAAAGTAGGGTTCTTTTTCTTTGTTGTAAAATCAAAAGGTGATATGCTTTGTTGATAGTTGCTAGAAGATTGTATATAAAGTCAGGTGTAGACTTGAACAAATTAAAGATCTAATAATAGTAGAAATTTCTCACAAGGTGTGAGAGAATTAGACATATCCTTTTTAAAAATGAAGAACTAATATAATTCTCGATATCTTTTACTTTAGTACTCTTTGTTTTCTATTTCTTACTTATTCATCTCTAAAAAATCATTAAACTTAATCCATCCCTCCTCTAAAATTGCACTTAATACTTATTGTTAGCATCATAACAGATTAGATTAAAGATAACTTGCTCCTAAAATCTAAAAGATATTTTCTGCAAATCCTATTTTTTGAAATGGTGGTAGTAACAACAAACCTGATAATATTATGACTTTTAGTTTTACAACAAAAATCATAATATTTCAATTTCAGTTAGTTTTAATGCTTTTGGAATTTAAAGTGGAGGGGAGAGAGGAGATAGCCAGGTATATGCCAAATACTCCAAACAAATAAACATAATATTTTTCAAAGGGTTGATAAACTTTAAAAATGGTGAATGAATTCCGAAAAGCGAAGAACCATACAATTTTTTGGTCCACCACCCACGTGAGGGTTTAATTGTTGCAAATTTCGCAAATTATTGGTCAATTGCAACAATAAATATACACATAATAGAATAAGTTCATAATAGCTGATGTTTACTTTGTTTTAATTTTAGATCTTAATAGAATGTTTTGATTTTGTTTAAGACTTGTTCGGATCAAAATAATAACTGATTTTGATGAATATTGAATTTTTTAGAGTGTACTTGGAATCATACTTGGAGGTGTTCTTGATGAAATAAGAGTGTTTTTTCATCTTATTGGAACACCTGTTTGAGGAATCCAATCATCACTACTCACAAAATTAGACTTAGTGAAACTTGCTGCATAAGTAGCATTAATAACAACATAACCAGACCATCAACACTTGTTTTCTTACTTATTAAATAATAAATTATCATATTCATCATTTCCAATTTATTAAAAATATTTTTTTCCCTAATCAACACTTCATTTTTGCAAAATTAAAGGGAGCAAAACAATTACAATGGATCAAAATTTAATTTTTAAAATAGAGGTATTAAAAATTAAAATAATTAAAGGCAAAATATTTCTTTTGTCCCTTAACTATACTCTTAAATTCAGATTAATTCTTTAATTATTTTTTGTGTTAGATTGATCCTTTAACTATTTAAAACGTGTCATATTGATGTTTTTTGTCTAATTAGTGACGAATTTAGTGATAGATTTTTGAATTTTTTCCGTCGCTAATGAAACAAAGATGTCCAATATGATACGTTTTAAAGAGTTCATAAATTTATCTAATAAAAAAATAATTAAAAGACTAATCTGAATATAAATTATATCTAAGAAAAAAAATATTTAACCATAATTAAAAGTGCATTTAATTCTAAATTATTATAGTCATTATGAAACAGATAATGAACTCTATTCTACACATTTCTCTTACATATATATAATATTCTGCCTTTACGTTATTAATTTATTTCTACACATTTCTCTTACATATATTTAATATTCTGCCTTTACGTTATTAATTTATTTCTACACATTTTTAAAATTTTCTTTAGACTATACTACTGAAAACTAAAATAGGCCTAACAATTATTAGTCTATTAAATAAAATCAAGCTTATAGTTCAACACATTTGACCAAGAATATTCTTTGTTTTTGTTTTGATTACTATATAAAAATAGCTATCAAATTGATTCTTGCTAATAGCAAACTTGTTTTGTTTTATATAAGTGGCCACAAACTGAACCAGGTTTACATTACACCTGTCTGTTTTCTTTATGTGCTGCCATGAAAGAGACTTCCACTCCATTAATCATTAGCACACAAAGCAACCTATTCTTCACTCATTTTCTATATTAAGCCATGTCCCCATTACCAACACTAATTTTCTTTTCATCTCAGGTGGCTTAAATATTAATTAATTTCTTCCATTCACGACTTATCATTTTAAATTTATGTGTTTATTTTACAAATTTGTCGCCATAAAGAATGATGCATGTAACATTTATAGTGGACATCACGTCTTTAATAATACTGATTTGGATTTCTTTTTCACTCACTTTTTCCTTTCTTTAATACAAGTACTTTTTTATGTTTCTTATGATTTATTATGCGCATAGAAAAGGAGAAAGATCAACTGGATCAACATGTAATCTTGGTCATACCTTTTAAAAGCACTTATATATTTCTTAATAACTAAGAAAATATGCAAGTTTATTAACTCGACTTTGACCAATGTTTTAAGCACGCATCTTTTAATATATATCTGTTCCGTCTTATTTCTTAGATAGTTTTTGTGTGCGTGAGTATTAACAAAATTGTTTTGCAATTTTTAGTTTTTAAGAATACAAGACCCGCAACATACATTACTCTTATTTTCAGGACAAACTAAGATTTTAAATCTGTACTTATATATATCTGCTGTATTTTCGATGTTTTACAAACTTTTTGCTGGGTAGATCTAGTTGGTATCGATTCCGTGCACACAACACTTAACATTTTTCATAAAAATAGGATGTCATAGTCTCATTTTCTAAAGACTAAAACTAAAGTCATATAGTGGGGACAAAAGATCTACCACACATATCCCCAAAAAACTTATGCCTTACACTTTCCTCTCCATTCATTCATACCACAAATCAGATTCAGTACTAACATCCTAAGAATTCCCTTTTTAATAATTCCTATAACCAGAACAATACAAAGGCTCCTTCAAGGTATTTTCTTTATACCTAACAAGATTCTAAAATTAGATCAATGAATCAAAAGGTATATACAGTACAATTCAACCTCAATGCTTCCCACCTCTTTTCTTCAATACTGACTTTAGAAACATCAAACAAACAATTAAGAATCCAAATCCTGCTACTCCTCCCACTGCAAGAGCCACTGTCCTTTCTGTGTGTGGATTCCCTCCTGATCCTATAATCAACATCATCAATTCAAACAAAATAAAAATTCAATCTTTGTATTAAACTAAATTCTTACTATTGAATAAATTAACACCGATTCGCATTACCTGAAGAGGAAAGAGAACCTGAAACTCCGTTAGGGTAAAAGCTATAACTGATAAAGCAACTAAAGAGATAAATCTGAGCAGAAATCGAATCGCCACACTCCAATTTAGCTTGTTCTTCAGCACTCTTAACACAATCACTACAATCATTATTTCCTAAACTACCCTCACATTGTCCCAAAACATACAAAGACATATAACTCCCTGTATAGAACAAACTCCCACCACTCTTCACACCATTCTCCACCATTCCAAATGCAGAGTCTCTCTTCGCCTCAAACCCAACACTGTCGTCCACTTTCCTCGAACCACAAACCTTGTACAGAAACTGAGTCATAGGAACTTGCTTAAACCCGACAACCTCGTACCTTAAGTAACACCCGCTGAGCTGAATTCTCACCGCCGCGACTTCCCCGCAGAGCTTGCTTATCTTGCTTGGAATCTTGCTGACGCAGAGATAACAGTCGGATGTTGAAAGGTCGCCTCTGCATTGATAAGCACCGGAGACGTCGCCGGTGGTTGTGGCGGCGAATGTTTTCTGTCCAGAAGCTGATACGAGAGAAGATAAGAGTGATTGTAGATTCTGGGAAGATTGTTGCTGCAGTTTTTGCGGGGAACAACCTTTGTAGACAACGTTGGTGTTATCGGCTGAGAAAACGAGTGAGGAGAGATTGAGAAGAATGAGAAATGAGAGAGTTTGTTTTGGTGTGAGGATACCCATTTGCGAGATTGGAAAGAAAACAATGTTTGATTTTTTGATGCAGTGTGAAAGGGTATTTGTAGGTTGTACTATTGTAGAAGAAAAAAAAGTTGAGTTTATTTTCTTGTTTTTATGTGCAACCAACTTTTTGTACTAGTTGCATTATGAGTGCCGTTATGGTTCACATCCGCGTGAAATGTGTCTAACCGTCTTTATGTGACTATTTTTTAAAACTATTTTTACAATTCACTAGGCTTAAATTTAAGTTGAATTGTTACACAATGTGTCAATTTATATTTTATATTAACAGTAAATTTATAGCAATTGACAAATACAGTGCTAGTATATCATTAAGAATTGAGAAATGGAACTTCTAACCTGAAAAGTAATCCTGTTTATCTTAAATAAGTGAAGGTTTAATCAAAACTGTGGAAAGTGATTAGTGATTGTGGTCAAAAGGAAAGAGTGTTGATTTCCTTTTTTGTTGTAAACTTTTTTACATTAAGTAAAGTCCGTAAGATTACTTTGACCATAAAGCAATCTAAATTAATGAGTAATTACTTTTTTGATGAAAAATTAAAAATTGTACCTTGTTCATGTGTGGGTCCACATTGTAGTTAATAATTTTACCATTTCTTTTGTGGTTTATTATACTTTTAAATAATTGTGCAAATTATCTGGCGAATTTATGGTTATAATTTCAAATATGATTATTTTAGCTCAATTTTTTTTTCTAATAGATTTTGTAAAGAATTGACTAGTCTTTTTTTCAAGTTTATTTTGAGTTGAATGGATTTTGCTATAATCTTTCTCTTCTTTTTTTACCATTTTTTTATCTATTAATCTTATTATAAAAAAAGACCATTAAAACTTTGAGCAATAAATTTGAAAAATGCTAATAATTATTAACTCTAGAAGAGTTTTTGAAAATGTGTGTTAAAAACTGAAATTGTTAACTTTTTCTGACCTAATATTTGTTTCAAACTTTAAAGAAAAATTTTATTAAATGTTTATTCTTTAAGAAACCAATTTTAATTTTTATAATTTGTTTTTAAATAATGATTCTTCTAAAAATTTTCACTTTTATATTTGGTTATTGTTAGTTTAGAAATTTTTAAAATATTAAATTGATAAATAGTAATGGTTAAATTAACAAAATAAATGGTCAAAAGATGCAACCGTTTAGAATATAATTGGAGATCCTATAAAGATTGAGTGATTGGCCAAAAGGTATAACCACCCCCAGATTAACACAGCTTTTCATAAAAAAGTTTCTTGTTATTGATATACAATGTTTCGCGAATAGTCGTGTTGAAATTAAATGAAACATTGTTTCTACACACCAATCGGTACAAGTTTTTTTTATAAATAGAGATACTTGTCATCCATAAAAGATATATGAAAATAATATATTTCAGAGGAAAAATTCATATCTAAGTCATTTCTTTATTTTTCTTGTGCACGAGAATAAATGAGAAAATTTTATTCAGTAAAATATCATTAATCGATAGGTTTAATGTGAATGTACGCCGGTTAACCCTTATGTATCAAATTTACATAAATTGGTGGAGGTGAATCCAACCTAAAGCTTAGTGTAAACACACGCTTTGAAATTGTTTTGTGCAACTTTCATTGTACCGTCTTCATCGTCTTCTTCTTGTTTATGTTTTACAGCAGACTCCCAACACAAGATCTAACAATCTTTAGGTTCGAGTTTAAATTTTCGATTTTGATCCATACTTTATTTATAATTAATATTAAAGTATGCAACTTTAACAAAGATGGTAACAACTTTTAATGTCGGTGAAAGGTAGACAGTTAATTCTGTTAGATAATTCTTCAAGGACGAATGGATCCAGACTGAATCGTGAACGAGATCACTTTCCTTAAAAGTATTTCAAGCACACTCTCAAATTGTCTTAGAGTTAGAACGGCCTGAATACCCAGGATAAGTCATCCTTTTTCTCGAAACTGCACAAGACTGGTGAAGATTCGAATGCAAGGAAAACGTTTGGAATTATATAGAAGAGGATATCAGATTTTTGGAGTACTTGATTTCGAAATAACAAGCGTCGTGCCTAAGTGCTCAAGTGCCGTCTACAAGCCGCCACTAGCGCCTCTACGTCCACGCCCTCGGATCCGGTTCCGGAGCCGGAGCCGGTGTCGCTGGTGGCGACACCGGCGAGGGGTGTTTTGTATGAGACAAGTGACATAAGGCTTGGGACCACCACATATGACTATGTGGCACTTTATCCTCTTTGCCTCCTTTGGAAAGTACATTGTTCCAAGGGTCTTATAAATGCTATTTAATTTTACTCCACTTCCAATGTGGGACTTATTTGAAGCATTTATTGCCAATTAACTATATCACCCACTTTGTCATTTTGGAACAACTTAATGGAAATAAATATTCATTATTTCCAACAATCCCCCACTTGTTCTAATAATGACAAAATAATAATTCCAGAAATGAGACATAAGAAGTGTTAATACAGTTAATTATCTTTCGATTTTAAACTTAACCTTAGTAAGGATAACACAAAGTTTAATCAGAATATTAGGTACCAATGCTTTTAAACCATGAATCCATATGAATAGACCGGTGTTACCTTACACACACTCCTTAAAGATTCTTCCTCTGCATAACTCGCTTAGCACTTATTTATGGCCATGTGCTATCCTGTTTCATGAATTTTTATGAGAGAAACTCCAACTCTCACTTTGAGATGACACCATCTCAGAATTCACATAGGTGAAGTTCATATTGTATCTGTTTCCAATAGATACGTACCCTCGGTATTGAACTTCATTAAGAGTTTAAAATAAAAACTCAACCCTCATTTCCAAGGTCAACATAATTACGAAATGTTAGACAATTATCCAAATCAACGACTTGTTATTACCCATTGAAAATCTTAAAGTTAATGTTCTGTTAACTTAAGATTGGGTTGTCGTCGTTGTCGGAACTCTTACTCAAGGAGTTTCAACCCCGTACCTCTCGAGGTTGTTTTTACTAAGTCTCTGGCCAGTAGCTTAGTAAACGGATCAGCCAAATTATAGCTTGTTCGTATATACGTGAGTGAAATGATTCCATCATTAATCAGTTTTCTCACGAACGAATGTCTAAGTCCTATATGCCTAGACTTTCCATTATACACTTCGCTAAATGCTCTTGCCAAAGTGGCCTGACTATCGCAGTGTATCATCACTTTTGAAACATTGTCTTTAGCCAATGGAACTTCCAAAAGAAGATCCCTCAACCACTCTGCCTCTTGACCAGCAGAAGCGAGAGCCACGAACTCTGATTCCATGGTCGAAAGAGTGATGCATGTTTGTTTCTTGCTCTTCCAAGAAATTGCTCCTCCAGCTAGTGTAAATATCCACCCAGTTGTAGATTTATGATCTCCCACATTAGAGATCCAACTCACATCGGTATATCCTTCTAATATAGCAGGAAACCTACCGTAATGAAGGCCAAGATCTTTGGTTTTCAACAAATAACCAAATATCCTCGTGATTGCCTTCCAATGTTCATTACTTGGATTACTAGTAAATCTACTCATTTTACTAACTGCAAACGATATATCAGGTCTGGTACATTGCATTAAGTACATAAGACATCCAATCGCACTTGCATATTCTAATTGAGCCACTGCTCTTCCATCATTCTTTTCAAGTTTGATTACATGATCAAATGGAGTAGTTACTTCCTTGAATTTCAGGTGTTTGAACTTATCAAGCATTTTCTCAATATAATGTGTTTGATTAAGTTCATAACCCCCACTATTTCGTTTAACTTTTATTCCTAAAATTGTGTCAACAAGTCCAAGATCTTTCATCTTGAAAGTGGAAGTTAGAAACCTTTTTGTTTCTAAAATTCCATTAAGTTTATTGCTAATTATTAGCATGTCATCAACATAAAGACACAAAAATATTACAGTGTTATTATACACTTTTGTATATAAACACTTGTCACAAGGATTAGGAATAAATCCATTTGACATTATCGTAGAATCAAACTTTTGATGTCATTGTTTTGGTGCTTGTTTTAAGCCATATAGAGATTTGACAAGTTTGCACACCTTTTGTTCATTTCCAGGAAGGACGTATCCTTCTGGTTGTCCCATGTAGATTTCCTCATCGAGATCTCCGTTTAGGAACGCTGTTTTAACATCCATTTGATGAACACTCAGATCATTCAAAGATGCTAAAGCAAATAACAACCTTATAGTGGTTGTTCTTGCTACAGGTGCATAAGTGTCAAAATAATCTATACCTTCCTTTTGTCTAAATCCTTTTGCCACTAATCTTGCTTTATAAGTGTTTAATGTACCATCACTATGATATTTCTTTTTAAACACCCACTTGCATCCAATGGATCTTGATCCCTTTGGTAAATCAACAAGTTCCCAAGTGTGGTTGGACATAATTGAATCCATTTCATCTCGGATAGCATCTTTTCAAAAAGAGGAGTCTCTTGAAGCTATTGCTTCCTTATAAGTTTTAGGATCTTCCCCTACTTGAAGAATTACCAGAATGTTTTTAATAAACTTTGTACTATTTCCTTCAACCAGATAAAATGAAATGGATTGAGAGTCGATTTTGTCTGGTCCTAGGTTCTTTATTTTCCGGACTCTTTTTCTTATCCTAGGTTCGGGTTGTGATTCAATGATTCGAGATGTGCCTTCAGGTTGTATTTCTACAATCCGAGAAAAGTCTTCTTCACAAGATTCTTTATTTATGGCCGACTCTGATTCTTTATTCTTAGTGATAAGTTTTTCAAATAATTCTACATCCCGGGATTCAACAATAATATTAGACTCTAAGTTTAAAAGTCTATATGCTTTGCTATTTTGTGCATATCCTACAAAGGCACATCTTATCCCTCGAGGACCCAACTTGGTTCTCTTAGGATCCATGTTTTTGTAGTATGCCACACACCCCACACCTTAAAATAGCCAATATTTGGTGTCATGCCCTTCCATACCTCATATGGAGAAATTCCAGTTTTCTTTAAAGGA